AATGAAATGCCTACCTTCTGGAGAGTGTTCTTCACTTGGCTGGATGTTGTGATGGGGTTTTTCTATTCCATGGAGAGGATCTTACAACAATTATCCATCACTGTGGTTTTCTGTTGACATCCAGGCTTTTTTGTGTCACCGAGCTCAGCAGTGTGTTCTTCTTTTATTAGAATGTGTTAAACTGTTTAGATATTTTTTCTACATTTGGAGAATTCCTTTCTTCTCAGTTTTACATATGCTACATCACATATGATTACTGTTGAATTCACTTTCCTGCTGAATGATTTTTCTGATGAAATTTCTATAGAAATTAGAGCTGTATTTAGGTCTATGGCAATGTTCTGCTAATACATCTTTATATTTTCTTTATACTGAGTGCGGTATCAATTTTGTATATTTCATATTTTGTTCTGTGGGGGTGGCCAAGATACCGGTACCTGAAATCTCATTGAGTGCTAACACACTTTGTAACTTTTGGTAACAAACTGTTTATTTGCCCAGTACTAATGTTCCTGCTATCTCTCTGATGGATTTATTTTTATTATTATTGCAGCCTAAGGATGGGGTGATTCACTTGCATTGAGAGCTTTTTTGACTGCATGTTGTGGGCTCACAACAACAGTTTCCAAATGTGAATGCCACACCTAGAATTAAATCCAGACCTTTTACCTGCTTAATTGATGAAGAAATAACTAAGGAATTGTCCACACCTGTCAATGAACAAGATTTTTTTTTTTGCTGTTGTAATTTTTTTATGTTATTTGTCACTTATTATATTAATTCACTAGCAGTGTTTCCCAAACCAGTCTCCAAGACCAATTGACAGTTTAGGCCTTGTCAGAATCTGCATTGGAATAAAACAGAAAATTACATACATCCTGAACTGTTGGTGAGCCATGAGGCAACCACCAGCAATTTATATTCTTTTTTTCTCCTTTTTTAAATGTACAAGCAGACATTAAGACAAAATTATAAGTAACAATTATTAGACTGATTAAAAAAAGCTAAGACAAAACATAATGGAGTTCTGTGAGGCCAATCGGAGACTTGTTAATTGGTTTCATGGTGTATCATCAGTGGGTAAACAGGTCCAATTACCTTTGATCCCCGGAAAAAAAAGAGCTGTATACATACGAAAAAGCTGTAATTCCTAAATCCTTCCTCCAATTTGGATGTGAATGCCAACTAATGTTGTGTTTTCCCCCAAAAATGCATCCAGACATAAAAATTCTATACATAATCTGACAATATACATTTTTTGAAAGATAATTCCACATCTTTATTGTTCTTACTGTAAAGAACACTTTCCTGTGCTTTGGGTAAAATCCCCACTATTCAAGTCTAAATGTTGACCTCTTGTCCTTTGAGCAGTCCTATTATTGAACAGATTACCAGTGAGCTGTTTGTACTGGCCTGGTATATATTTGCATTATGTTATCAGATCCACTCTGAGTCACCTTTTTTTCTAAAGCAAACACGATTTTTAGCCTTTCGTTATAAAAAAATCATACATTCCCCTAAGTACTGGAGAAGCACTCAATGTACCACTGATTTATAAAAAGAAAAGGTGGACTAAAGTTGTTTTTTCTTGGAGATGAATAAACCACATTTTAGTCTCAAAGTCTTTTTTATTTTTTAAAAAATGAATATCAGAAATTGTACCTATTGACTGTTAAATGTAAAAAAAAAAAGTTTTAAAGTCTAAAAGAATCCCCTTAGTATGTATCTGTTCAAAAGCAGTGATCACATAATCTGGTTGTCTTTGCATCCTGCATCTAATGTCACAAAAATTTACATGCTATTGTTGCAGTTATTTGACTGTAGTAGTTATTTAAACCTTTGAAGTGTACATTGGAAACACTTGCAATCCTGAAAAGGTTATGTTGTCATATGCACGTGTTTTCTACAGTAGTTAAGATGTGTCCTTTTTGACAAGGTTACTCTTACAATAAGGCATACAGGTTATGTACTGCTGCTATTTGTATATGTAGGGAAACGCTTTGTGGCCAGCCCACTTTCTGAGTTACATTCAGATTAAATGACACAAGTTATATAATTATTTCTTTTCTTCTCCATTCTCATTCATGCTATTTGATCAGTTCAAAGCAAAACTGACATCTCATCAAATCCCAAAGAGTGTTTCTGTGCCCTGTGCATCAGAGAGTGGCATTTAAAAGCAAGAAATTGCAGAAACAATTGTATTTTTTTTCCAAGTCACATCCATGGATGTAAACCTGACCTTTATCCAGAAGATTTATTGGCAGTGTGCAGTTTTGTATTTTATTTCATTATTGCTTGGAAAAATAGGAGGGCCACTCTAAACAAAAATAATTTAAGTTCATTTCACAAGCCTTGACACCTGATGTTCTGTATCAAACAGGATAGAACAATTTAGTAATTCATTTGAGTAACATTTTTAAAGATTTTCTTTTTTTTTTATTGATGTGGTCTCTCATTTTTAATGAAAAGATGGAGTCCTATAGAAATAGGAATACACTTTTTTTTAAAATCCGTATGCTGCATAGTACTTAAGGGACACTATAGTCACCGGAACAACTGCAGCTTAATGTTGTTGTTCTGGTGAGGATAATAGTTCCCTTCAGGCTTTTTACATGCAAACACTGTCTTTTCACACACGTTTTCATCCTATGGTATGTCCTCTCACTCACTAAGCTTCCCTCTTAGTTAGCTGTGGCTGGCTGTCAGGTTCCTAGGTGTCCACTAGTTATTATGCCCCCTGGCTTCTTCGCCTTAGGTTAGTAGTCCTGCGAGGCGAACACCCATCCTCATACTCTGAGGTACTATGCCCCTCTGGCCAGATCATAGTTAGTCGCCTCGCATTGTGGCATAGAGAGGGTCTCACCTGTCACTCCCATTCTATCCTATGTTTAACTGTCACAGAGAGGCCGAAACCCCGCCACATTGTTCAGTGGCCACATTATTCCCGCACTCCAACGCATAGATAGAGCCTCTAACGCCGCTTGGCATCTAGCAGTGCCTCACCTGTCACCAAACCTAGTTTTAATTGTTTCACTTTAGCATTAGCTAGTATGCCAGCACACATTGGTAAAAATACACCCTTCGGGATCTGTCTGTGGCGATGAAGGCAAGAGATTCCAGTCTTAACAAAAATTCAAATATTCCAGTATTCATCTAGATTTGGCTCATTTAGGGATGTAATTTACTCCTCAGATCCTCCACAGAGAGGAACTGAATTTTTCGGGTGAACCTTGGTTATAGTTATGGCAGCTACGGTTTTCCATATAATTTTGGATGTGCTCTTTACGAAATCAACTCCTTGCAGCTAAAACCATTTTGTATTCGACAACTTAATGTCCATACTGACTAGGGCCAACTAGACAAAGTTATTAGAAGTAGTTGTACTAAATGTTTCTTGGCCATGCAATTCTGTCCCAATGATAATACAATACCTTCTGCTAATAATGCCAGTGCTGAGTACACACCTGCCACCTACACAGGTAGGTAATAATTTTAACAGACAGTTGGGGGACAGCGTCTTCAGACTCCATCTTGCATACTCACCGTATTTCAGACCCAATTCTTAGATCATGTGTCCTAGTGTATTATTTCCCGCCTCGTTTATAGCTTTAGTTTCAATTGTGCTTTATATGTCCCTTGCAGTAATACAAACAGAATATCAGACCTATTTCATACAAGGCTGATCCATGCTTTCAATACTTCAATCACTTACGGGCTAAGTGTCTACTAGATAATTTGATATAGCAGTACAAGGATGAGACCCAAATACATATATTTCCCCAACTTGTCACTCACTTTGCTACTCCTATTATACCACATACCCTAGGTGCCATATCAATTTAGTAATAATCTCAACAAAGAAACCAAGAACAGCGGTGTTCCTCCAGCAATTTGTTTCAGGTGTTTTATTCCTTACATATATATTTCCAGTTAAACACATATATTGGGCCTCTCTCTGCCTTTTACGTTTACACGTTGTGCATATTTAGGCATTGCATCGCTTACGTACTTATAGTGACAGCTTTCCAGATTTTATGCGTTAGTGGGTATACTATTTATTACTTGGCGACTCATTAGGGGGAATACAGCACATTCAGTTCTAGATTACCATACGATGACTAATACCATCTCTTAAATATTGTGTTAAACATTTAATATACATAGGCTACCAAACAAACACTTCTACACCAATTTATACAATTCAATGCAGGTTAAAGCATTAGCAAGTCTACTAAAAGACACGGTAAACTAGTGATACGGTTTCCTACTTGTTTCATACCAAACATCGAGGCATCACTCTGCCTTCATTACGGCCAAACAAATACAATTCAAATCCTTAACGTCTAGTAGGGACTTGTCTCTGCACACTTGACCTTCGCCAGGTCCTCCATGCGCATTCAATTATACGTTATGCTATTTAATATTACATACGTTTCACTATGTTACTTTACGTTTCAAGATGTCCATCAGGATATTGACTTTCTGTCATGCTATCTGTTTTTCTTATAAAACAGACAAATTTACAATCCCAAGCCTATCAAGTAAACAATTATAGGGTATTTATCATAACGACACATATCTTTAAGTTTAAACCACAATTAAAAGCTCGTCAGGTTCCTCTCTTAAGAGCACATATTTTACCCTACTGTTAGTCACTATATTTTCGTTCTATTCTTCAGTTCGCTTCACAACCGGTAGTTCATCAGATGCCTTTCCCAGTCCTTTTCTCTCTGATTCTACCACGTTTGCTCACGCATGTACGGTTATGTTCATGCTCATCCACAAAGAGACAAGCCTGGCCAAGGGTAAGAAGAACTGACCTTAGTCAAATAAATATTGCACGAGGCCAACTACCGACCTCAACACGGAGGTTCCACTCAACGGCCCATACTCTTCTGCAGGGTCTTAGGTAGGGCCTCACATGTCACGGCCACACATATTGTCTCTTTTTTATTTTTTATAATTCTTTATTTTTGATATGCAGGTAGGTACAACAGTGCCTGTGTCGCCACAAGAACATCAGCAGGCTCAATTTGTATGGTCTTAGCAAAACAGTGTTATGGCATGTTGGGTTTGCATATATTTTTTTTAAATATAAAACACAAAATAACGATTCAAGATATAAGCGTTTGAGTAGTAAATATCAGGCTTAATTAGTACTTTTCTAAACAAGGCTTAACAGTTGAACCTGGGATACGCTGTAACAGTAAGTGTCCCTGTATGGTTGGCAACTCAATAGTATGCCACTAGCTTAGCAGTGAAAAGGGTGACACCTGGCATAACGGGTGGTAAGTAAGCAGGCGTAATACTGTAAGGTTATGATGACTGGAATGTTAGGAGGTCAACATTGCTTAGTAATAGCGTGGCACAAAGTTATGACTAACTTCTGGTTGATCAATACGTTGGCATAGAATTATGAATGGGCTGTGACACGTTTAAGCGTTTGCAGGGAGGTGCATGCTGTTTGTGATTAAGACTATTAGGTCCCATCATATGCTTCTACGTTTTATTACATGTCACAGGCTTAAAGGTTTGGGTGCCAGGATGAGTGGGGCATGCGTGTGTATCCGTGGGAGTGTGCTATTGTATTATGCATATCTTAAGCGGGCTTAAGCTTTCTATGGGTCACCCGAGTGAAACGTAATGGAACAGTGTTAGATTTTATGCAGTCTAGGTATTTAACAGTTATACTGAACGCTAGAAGATATGAAAGATAGGCATAAGGGCTAATAAAACTTCACATTGGATAAAAACATTACGATGAGGTCAAGTAGTATATCCGCTTCTGGGCACTCCGGAGCATAGCCAGTCTCTGGTTTCGTCCCTGTTGGTCAGCTGATGCCGGTTCTGGAGGCTCGTCTGGCGTCCCAGGGAGAAGGGCTGGGTCGGTACCTCCGCCCGGTTCCATCTCCGATGTGCCTTGGTGGGGCTCTCAGCCCGATTCGCTCACTAATAGGAGGCTGAGCGGGAGCACGGGTAGTATCGCGGCCATCAGCACGAGTCTTCAGACGTGAATCGGCGTTCCGCTGTTTGGAGGGTTCCAGTGCCTCCGGGTGGTAAGCAGGCCAGGTATGCTGGGTGGTCCCGCAACTGGCATGTGTGAGAGCGAGTGCTGTTGCTGGCACCTAAGGGACAAGTCGTCGTTTCCCGCTGTCTTGTTCTGGAGGCTCTGGGCGGTTACCCACACAGGTGGCGCCAGGTTGCAGGGCGAATCCATGCCGCTACCTCTTTCATCGTTTGTTTGAAGGTCTGACCTTTGGTACAGAGCATTGTCCATAGGTGTACACAGAACCGGTCAATGAACTCCAGGGTGTGCTTGGGTGGCTTGGCAAGGGTGATCTTTGTCGCAGGCCATGCCTGCACCGCCATCTTGATTGGGTCCTGACAGTTTCGTGTGACTGCAGGTTTTAATGCTTGTTCGAGTAGTATTTCGGGGGTATTCATCCCCGACGAGGACCGGGATACCCTCCGCCGGTCCAGAGGGGGGGTTGCAGGGCAGTGTTTGATTCTCGCTTGTAAGCGGATCCCGTGCCGGGCGATCGGCCGCCTGCCCCAGGCTTCAGGTTCCGCTGCAGTTTAGGCCGCATGGCAGGTTCAGGTGCTCGTAGTGCTTTTCGGTGCAATACGGGTATCATTCCGTTCCCTGCGTGGTCCTGCATCGCTTTCCGGGTACTGTGTGCTGCTGGCATAGTTATGTTATGTAGAATTATTGTTTTTGTGCCCGCTGGTGTCGGAGCTTTCAGAGAGCACGTCCAGCCATATTGGCTGTCAGGCCCCGCCCCCCACATAGTGTCTCTTTTACCGTCACCAAGAGGTCAACACCCCGCTACAACGCAAAGTAGCTACAAATCCACACGGCCCAAATCAAAGGTAGAACCTCTAACAGGCAAATAGCAGGGCCGCACTGTCACTGGGTAGTTAATATCTTCACCTATCAGTACTAGTTAGCAAGCCAGCTCTACACAAGAGATATTTCAATTGGCATCAATGTTTTGCATGGTTAACACAGTTTTTTTTTCCTCCTTACTTCCTTACAGAATGCTACAAGAAATAGCTCCAGGTGATGTTCTATCTTTAATAGACACTCTAACCCTGTCATCCCAGGTCCCCCGCAGAATCCCCAGTCCTAGCCACTCCTAAAGTCATGAAGTCTGGCCTTGCTTAAATGTAACAGTTGAGCTTAAAGAACATTCAGCTCAGAGATCCTCTGCAGTTCAAAAAGACCTAATCATTCCTTAAGTTAGTGTTTTTATTAATTACGCAGGTAGATTTGTCTACCAATACTAAGGAAGCTTACTCTAGAGCTTATGATATGTTTAAGAATTGTGTATGATTTCAATATTGTGTATGACACGCAAATCTACCTGTCCTCTCCTGATCTCTCCCCGTCCCTCTTGACTAGTGTCTCTGACTGCCTCTCTAACTGGATGGCTGCCCACTTCCTTAAACTAAACTTGACCAAAACTGAAATTCTGGTCTTTCCTCCCTCAAGTGTTGTTACTCCTGTGTCTGTCTCCCTCCAAGTCAACGGTGCTACCATCAGCTCCACCACGCAGGCTCTAGGTGTTCTCTTTGACTCCGACCTCTCCTTCAAGCCTCATGTTCAATCTATTGCCAAATCCTTCCCCCTACTCAGGCCACTCATTGCGTGTCAATACAAAACAGCAGCCTCTAATGGGCATGTTATGTCACACACAATTAGGAATATGGAACATTGGATTACAATAGGGACATTCCTAACCAAGGATGAAACCAGACTTCCTTTCGTGAATGTGACTAAACGAGTGCTAATTGTGAAATAATAGTTAAACTTGTTTTTATATTTTTGCCCTCTTTTTTACTCCTCTGTCAGGCTTTCCAGTGGTTTTTGAGGTAGTTTAGTGAAAAAGATTGCTTTTACTTCTTTTTGATGAGTAAAGCACGGTCGTGAGAATGTCTTTTTCAGTAGTAACCTTGTCTTGAACGCGTTTTGCCTTCACTAGGCTTTTCTTTTTCTTTTGTACTGCTAATTATTATTATTTTCCACTTACTTGCATTATGTGTCTATAGTTGCCTGAATTTTGCAATTTAGTTTTTGAACAATAACCCTTTCAGTGTTTTCAATACGTTTTAACATGCTTGGAAACTTACTAGTTGTGTTTTTATCTGGGAACTGTGGGTTTGACACAAGGAGAATGACATTTGACAAATTTAATTGCTAATTGGTTAAACTCATTCATATATGTTTCAAAATGTAGCACTGTTAACCAAAGGAAACCTTCACAAGTGAACCAGCAATTCCCCAAACCTATCTTCAGCAAAGTGTGGCTAACTAGCTCTTTTAATAACTCATGTACAACATGTGGCTTTCTGTGTGCCTTCGACATTTGGACAGTGATAGAAAATCCTCACAGGAGGGCCGATGGTTTAACACCAACTCAAGTTCAAAGTAAAAGATTATGGTTGATCTTGGAAATCTCTGAATTTAAAATAAATTCTTGAACAAAAAGGAAAATTTTTCTTCATCTTCATCCCATGAGCCTCTGTGCCTGGGAGACAAAGTGCAGGAAAAGAGACCGTCTTACTATTTAGTCTCTACATACCTCAAAACAGAATGCATGTGTCATGGTTGATTATATATTTCCTACCTGTTCTATGTTACATTTTGTATAAATTGTGTATGAATATCGTTTTTGTATTTTATTGTACCATAATGTATCAATGCAATGTTTTGTGGACCCAGGGTATACTTGAAAATGAGAGAAATCTCAATGTATCTTTCCTGGTAAAATATTTTATAAATAAATAGTCTAATCACATACATACTTATGTTATTCCTGTCTACTTGCTAAATATTTGGACATCTCCATCAGTCAGTGGATGTGCAATAGCTGCCTCAATTCTTTATTTAGCCTCCTCTCCCTTACCTATACATCTCCCTTACCTATTCATTTTTATCATCAATTGCCACATACACCATGTTTTGGCGTATCTACTATCCCTCTGCTCTTATTGAATTAATCTTAACTTTCTTCTGTCTGGGTTGTAGCATACCCAAGGCTCTCAGTGAAACAACTGTTATTCCCTTGATCGGAAAATAGGATCATGTTCCGGTTGAACCTTTGTTCAACCTGAAAGTAAAAAGGTTGGAGGGTGATAGAGTTAATTTACTTACTTAAGGGTGCATTTGTACATGTCATAAAACCAACTTGCTTCCAGCTATTCTCCTTGTGAATAATGCCATTTTGCATGATCCTATGCCAATTGTTCAACAGTTATTTATGGAGGACCAGTATTACATAAATCACAGCATATACCATTTTACAAATAAAGCCGACATCAAGGCATAAATACATTTCCCAGGTAATTCCATTGCACAGTTCTTAACACTCACTGACTCTTACACCTTCATCATACCTGAAAATGATAAAATAAAGGAGATATGTCAGAAAGAATAACGATAAATTATTCATCAGGAGGGTTGTTTCTTTTTTAAGAGTTGTGTTCTTTTTTGATGACAAAAGAAGAATTGTTGACGTTCTATCAAAATATTAAAAAGAATGAAGGAACATCCAAAGTTTTGTTTGTTCATGTTTTTGTTATAGTAACTGTCTGCAATCTCCTGACCCTCAAACTCTGCTCTAACACCAGGTCCTGTAGCTAACGCTAAGTGACTTCCAGTGTATCTTGCATTGGACAGAATCTCTTTTTGCTTCCAGAACAGACTCAATTATTCACAAGGTGGATTCAGTAAAATGCTGGATTAGACTTGATTAGATTCCTCGTTCCTGATAACTCAGAAGAATAATTCACATCCCCTGCCCATTCTAAGTTACTCATTCATGCTGCTTAACTACTATTCCATGTTCCAAGGGGCTGTATTGAATTGAGAGTTGCGTAATTTGCAGGCCATTGGCATAAACTTAATTTACCAGTTTGAGGTGATGAATACTTTATGAGTCTTATCTACTAGGGAAAAAAATCCTATTAAGTTGGGTAAACTATGGCCATAAAGAGATGTGCCTGTACAGCAACAATGCTTAGGCACGCCATAATTCACACAATATTCAGTTAGAATGAAGGTATTTTATATTTACTATCATGTAATGTCACCAAGCAACATGTTATGCTTTCAAATATGTATTTTTGCATACAGCATACATACTGAGTAGTTATTTAAGAATTTGCCCCCCTTTTGTGAGTTTCATCACCTTCTTTGATCTTTCTCAACAAGAATTTTCACCTATATATCTCTAGGTCATCGGAGATATTTTTTATTTCACCTCATT